GAAACGCGTGCCGTGGGAGGAATATAACGTGATTTGCGCCATCTTGGGGGACCGGACTGTTAACTTCATTTGACGTTCAAGGAGAATCAGGTTGGAACCATGGTGCGCCACGTGCTTGGTGATGGCAAATCACAACACACAACCAAGTACAAAAACCAGCTGTTGCCGACGTCTTTTTGTAGAAAAGACTCCTGGGTAGCTCTGGCTGGTGCGTCCTACATAAAAGAAACCGAAAGGTGAACGAGTCGACGTCCGGAATAACCGGATGACCACACACACAAATGTGCGAACACTTGATGAGGAAAATACGTTTTAATTTTTACAGAGAACTTAGGGAGCGTCAACCAAATGTCCTACTCATGAGTACCCAACACACCGACGACACCACAACTCACAGCACCACTTGCAACAAAACTTAAGCACTATGCATACCTCCTCTGAACGCCTTGATTCGGACACGACCGCCACATATCTGTTCTTCTAATACCCTGCACCTCAAAAAAATGTTGTCGACAATGGTGACAACATTTCCATGCGCGCCCCTCCACACTTGACACCGCAGACGTGCGTCGCAGAGAGGCAGAAGGAGATGGCCTTTATTCACGGAGGACCAAACGCACGAAGCAAAGGAAGGACGGACAAATCAAACGCATGCCGATCGGTTCTTGACTCGATTTGGATGTGTCCGCGATGGGTGCACCGTGTTTCAACATCCCTGCCCTCCACAAGCTGTTAATCCGTCAATCCGGGAGTAGAGGGTCATCACCGAGCGAACTGGTCTCAAGTTACTTTCCGAACCGCCCACACCAATTGGTATCCATGCCAGACGTGCAGATATTTTGGGAACTGGCCCAGGATATCCGTCCACGACCTGGCCACAAACAGTATCACTCGGAACTCAACAAAAACGTTTCAGCTACAAACTCACCAACGTACGTACCATGATTGCTATGCCTTGGCCTTTTTTCGCGCTGGTTCGGAGGACGAGTCAGTCGACGCGGAAGCAGAAGCAGCTGCATTTGCGGTACGAGCAGTAGCCGAGGTCTGCAAGAGGACGGTGGCTTTCTTGAATTGACACAGCGTAGGGTACATCTTTTTGAAGCCATCCTCGAGCTGTTGGGCGCTCTTAGCCCCCGTCAGCACCACCTGAAATTCCGTTTGAATCAATCACATTGCAGCAGTCGGGAACAGAGCCGGGGCACTTCTCATCATTGGATGAGAGGATAATGGTCAAGCGACATCACCACCAGAGGAATCAAGCGCTGCCGTAAAAAGTATCACATGAGGCGCGCTGGTGGACACAAAGCAGACTCAAGCACCCTTTCCAACCAAACAATCCTAACCCCCGAACACTTTTAATAGTGATGCTAACCCAGGCGTGAACTCTATTGCTCAGCCCTCTCAGAAAGAGGCAACGGATCCAAAGGAAGCGAAGCTCCCGGAAACGTCAGCTCGATAGCAACCGTCCGTTTGGTTGAATCTGGGTTGTTGAGGAATTGGTGACGTCTCCGTGCTTGTGTACAATACCTTTCCCGAAACGAAGATGAGGAAGCATATCTTGGGATCTTTCATGCGGTAAATCAGCCCCGGAAACAGCTCGGGTTCGTAGTTGCAGAAGCACCCTTGGTTCGAGGCCACCAAGCCTTCCAGGCGAATCGGAAACCCAACGTCCGTCGTTGCCACCATGTTCTGGACCCGCCGGTCTCTCTCGAGGCTTGGGCGCAAGGGCGTGTCGAAGGCGTGTAGGATGCCAAGATTTCGCAAAATCGGGGCGAGGTGCACGCAGCAATCGAGGGGAACAGGGTAGGGGTCAGAGTTAAAGCTTTACCACCGGTTGATCGTAGGACATGAACGTCTCAATGGCAGCATATTTAATATGTAGAATTGTTGTAACTTCTCGACGGGTTGATCGATTGGGTAACGTGCTTGATTGATGCTTGCACGTGAGCCGAACGAAATCAAGTCCTATAAGCGCGAGGCCTCTGCGTCAAGCGGGTGCACGAATGGAGATTTTCTATCCACGACTTGTACACTCGGAACTCGTGTTGCATCACGAAGAGACACATCGCGCAGAGAAGCGCGATAATGTGTTGGCTGAGCCATCAAGCCTTCCCGCACCACCAAGAAACGAGATGCAAGTGATCCTGATCCCCAACACGCAACAGCACGGGTAGACTCCGATATGAGTAGTTGCGTCCTCCTAGGCGCAGGAATGAGGAATCGCAACAACTTTCAATAGATGAAAATCGTATCTGGAGTATAAATCATCGCGCGATGCTCGAACTCTCTACGACGTTGTTGTACACATTTGTAGACAAGGCACACACGTACTGGTTTTCTACCAGCGACTCACTCGAAGTTAATCTTGTGCGATGGCCCGCCGCTACCGTTGTCGAGTTTGCTAAGGATCCGAGCGAACGTCTTGCACGCGTAGTCGACCGAAGCGTTGCTCCTCGACCCCGTCACCACCACCTTGCCCGTCTTGAACACCAACGCCGTCGCCTTTGGCTCGTTCTTATTAATCAGACGGATGATCTTTGAATGCCATGCCGCAAACAGAGTGCCGAAATTGCAGAGAGCGTACAACCAGCAGAGGCATAATAAGCCGAAGTTGAAAATATTTTCGGAGGCTTACGAGAACGCACGCCGGTTTGGAGGATACGCGATACTTCGCGGGTCCAGATCGATTCAGACAGCACAGCACGTGCTGCGCTGATGGGCAGGATCAATTGCCAACAACATTGCCCCGGTTCTCTACTGGTGCAATGCCGCAGTAGCGGCGATACAAAAGAAAAAGATGGATTTCCATCTTAGGGTTAGGGTTACCGTTCCATCCTAGGGTTAGGGTTACCGTTGGTGTTCGTGCTCTACAACGTGGAGAACGGCGCTGAAACATTGGTCTGCATTGGTCTTCAGAAAATGGTGATGTCCAGGGAACATTGCGAATACCAGCAGTAGTCATCGGCCGCTTGCGTGCAAAGGCACTAGACATTACTTGTGTTGCAAGCCGTTAAATATGATAGTAATCCCTGGTACTGCTGTGTGTTCACGTCTTGACTGCTGCCTCCAGAGCTGCGACTGCTATAGCGAGATGGAAACGTTGCGATTATCATAGAACAATCAAAGCACCCACGACAGGGAGCAACGAACGAACCAGCAAGGCAGAGACCTCTATGCAGCTCCCGGGAATTACTTACGCAGGCAGAGAAGCGCTTGGGGTTGTATTCGGCATTGCGTGCCCTCATCACGACCGTCTTAAGGTCGATCGTGCACTTCATGTCGGCGGTGGCGGTCACGTTCACCATGCTCAGCTTGCACTGGCCATGGTTCTCGAAGGGCCCGATGACCTGCGCCCTCATGGCCGTTTGCGCTTCCTTGAAGGCATCTTGTTTGCCTAACGGCGCCGCCCCTTTTGAGCCCGAGCTGGAGCCAGCCCCGCCGCCCCCCCTCGGCATCTGTACCTTCACCTGTGCCGCACACCTACAGTAATACAACAGGCGTAAACAAGGTTGGCGGAAAGCGGAGGCTTGTTCATGTGGTGATGATGCTACACATTTTCAGCCTTTCCCCTGCTTGTGACGGCTACGCCCCATTTAGGGCACCAACCCCTGCCACAGGAAGGAACGATTTGCCATCGGTGATCGGTCCTAAGGGAACAATGGTCAGTCCTCTCGAGGACGCGTGGTCAATGGTCGAACCGCTAAGGCATCCAAAACAGGAGAGTATGACGCCCCCTCCCTGCCATTGGTAGCGCTCCCTCCGGCGCTACAAAAATTGAAGCAGGTCTAACACAAGTCGACCCATGCGTTCTTCTTGCAACGGGAGTAACTTTTCGAGTCATCTCATCTGCGGCCATACCGTCACTTGTTGATTCCTGGACGTCATGTCGCTTCTGGGTCTCCGCAAGTCAACCCTAAGCGAGAGAAAAACTTTCATCGATCGCGACCAATTCGACCCAAATATGGCAACAGCAGTTGTGCATGGAGGATTTGGAGGGCTGGTATCGAGTGCAAGAAGCCGTGCGACCATGTACGATTGTAACCACACTTCAAGGGTCTTCTAGGGGAAGACAAGATCGGTTCCGATGCCAAGTCTACACACCAGCCGCGAAGCCAGGAAAGTTTGGACGATCGTGTAGTCACCTCCATTCAAACTTTGGAACCATGAAACACAAATCCGCATGTACATATGGGAACACAAATATCCATGAGAACAACCAGTGTGAGGGGGGCACTGTACTGCTATTCAGGCACATACTGCTGTCCCTAGATATTCGTAGAGCTTCACCTGCGTTGGCTAGAATCTAACAGGTACGTGTGGACCTGGGGTTTCGGAACGGCCGAAAGGGTTGTAATGTGCCGCATGTGGACTACAGCAGTACCGGGTGTGACAGCAGTCAATTATTTTAATTCTCCTATTCTAAGGCGTGCTTGGGGAATTAATTGCCGCTGACCGTGAAAGAAGAAAAAGGCCCACAATCAACCGGAGGACAACACATGCGATAGTTGTGTGGCGGAGGTTTGAATCGCGCGACCATATACAGATGTGCCTTATAGAAAGAGCCGGACTGCCGTCGTTGTTGTGGCGGGGGGCCCATGTGCAGCAGTGCAGTGGCGCATGACATGTCAGTATCGAGCGTTCTGCTGTATTCTTGGTGTCACCAACCGAGAAGGAAATACGCCAACAGGAGACTAGGTTTGGAGGGCACACTGGTAGACAACAGCGGTACAGGCGCACTAGTGGCGTCTATCGATTAGAACTACGGGATGAGCTTTGCCCTACTGCGGCATTAGCACTACAAACGGCCTTCTGGTCATATGTGAGCCTGACGGTCGCTCAAAGGAGATGACGCGCTGGGTGCTTTCAAAATACACACAACAGAGTGCAAGGATCAAGCGCTTCTGCGATTGCCTTCACCCATGTACACTGCAGACTTTTGCTGCGAGTAGAGAGACAGCAAACCCTGATCCTTTGTGAGCTATCAACACGCATGTTGTTGTTGTTGTTTTTCTTCACATTAAACTCGTGTCAGTTGCTAATCCCAAAATCTAGCAAAGACTCGGTCTGTGGTCACAAAAATGCTAGAGCCATCAGAAGATCTAAAGAACACACACACTATTAGCAAGAAAAGGGTACGCAAGCCCGAGGAGGTACACCAGCAATCCCTGCAGCACGTTTGCATGCTCACAACTGAACTACACGCCCACACACTACAAATCGGCTACCGCAGCAGCATCACCCCCCTTGTCCCGCATTGAACCAAAATGAATGTTTGTCGACTACAGCGTACTACTGTCTGAAGTGCTGTCTGTACAATAATAACACCATGGTGCATGGTACACAAGCTCGGGGCATGCATGCGAAGTCGCAACACCCATCCAGGGGCTTCGCAGTTGGTCGCGTGCAATAGGTTGAACAATTACGCAAAGAAGGTCGCACCTGCGAAGCCACACTCCAGCTTCCGGATTCAGCACAAGTTCGAGCAGCCCACAGTAGTTCCTTAAGTAAAGGTTGAAGGTGCTCGTGGGGATGGGAAAGACAAGCGAGGAGCAACAAACAGTGAGTGACAAGTACGGTTTGCCGCACACCAACGCCCCGCAGAATCACGGCCGGTAACAACGGGATTCCAGGAAAGTTCTGGAGGCGTCGTCGAAATGAACTGCCGTGGGTACTTGGCTGGTTTGTGCAATATGGTATATGACATAAAATATGTCATATACCATTGGGTTTGTGCTCATGTGTCGTCTCTTTGACTTTCTGACTTCGACTCACCACCCCCCACCACCGTAGTTAGCGTATACGTACGAACCACCTTGACGAGAGAGTCGGAGGTGCAAGCACTGCAATGCAGCGAGTGATGATTGGACAAATGCAAGACGATGGGTTAGACTAGATGTGCTGAAGCGGATCCCGTTGTCTTGTAAAATAGAGTCGGCCGGTGATACGTCCTCCCGAGGGCCAAGAGCGGGTAAAACTTCGCGTGAAACGTATGCAGCGAACTGTCGCTATCCAAGTGACGCGCACTTGCATGGGCTATCGTAACTTCTGAATCCCTTCCACCCGAACCCACGGTCGTTCTGAACACCCGGTTGATCATTAGTCTAAAGATACAACAACCGTCGGACTTGACAACACATGTAGGATGAATAGTCTACAAGATATCCGACGAATATAGACTATATGGCAATCCGTTCGTGGTCTATCGTACCCTCATTCTCTTTCTGGGACATCGTCAGCCTCGGATGACCATGAGAGCGTTAAAGTCGAAGACGAGTCATGGGGCACAAGTAGCGATTGGCTGCTCAGCGCGAGAGCAGCTGCGCCTGAATAGCTCGGGCTGTGGTGGAAGATGACAAGTAGAACGTCGAGGGCAGAAAAAAAAAAAGCACAACAACAACGAGGAAGACTAATAATCGACAAAACGTCCAGGGCTCGTGGACAAAGGTGTCTTACATCTTACATTTTACGCTACCGTAGTTTCATGCCTCCAGCTATTGGCCGCGGAACACTTTGCTCTGTAAGGTGCCAACGATGGCATACGATTAAACCGACAGGCCCGTATCTTGGCATCGGTGGATATACTGCATCAGCACCAGAGTCCGGTCTGGAGTCGCAAGGATATTCGGTCGACCTCGTTCGTTGGCGGTTGAGAAGGTGTTGCCAGGCGGCGTGTGAGGTAAAATTCAGGTACGCAACGGCGTCGTGCAACAGGCGTGATAATAGGTAGAGATTGTCACCCAGCACGGCAGCCCCATTTCGGACGAGAAGAAGCGGAGACCAGGTGGATGCGCTCAATCGAACCTTGCGCGCTGGGAGAGCACGCCGCCTCTTGCTACTATTCGATTTCACATCCAAAGCAAGGAGGTATACGCAAGCGAAGTTCTCCCACCAGCTTGTTGGAGTTTGAATACAGCACTGGACAGTTCGCACTTGTGTGTTGAATGCGCGACGCGTCCGTATAGAGTCAACACGAACGGGTAGCAGCTACAGCAGTAGCAGCATCGCCCGAGACATAACGCGTGTACCTCCCAAACAAACCAAACACCCAGCCTTGGCGGGCCCACCCGTTGTATCCCAGCTGCTGTTGGTAGTTGAGTAGTGCTTTCATGCACTGCATGGCAAACGAGAATATAGATTCCACACATAAGAGAGTCAACTGAGTTTGTCTCAACCATTGCCACCCTCTGTTCGCTGATGACGCACGCAACATTCGCAACATACACTTGTAACTCGTCCTGTATGTACACCAGCCGCAGCCGCTGCTCCGAAAATTCGGCGATACGCTTCATGGTTAACTTCTCCTGCCGCTCCATACTACTTGGGCGGCTGCGCTCCTTGCCCTACTGATGCTGGTGCTGATGCTGGTGCTGATGCTGCTGGTGGCCGCGGAGGGGCGGCCGTCTTGCCAAACTGCCAATGCAAGAACTGCTGCTGATGAACAAAATCCCGGAAACTCACGTGTGCTATTTCCTGGGTGGTGTTGCAAGAACAGCAACAAGGTACGCGCGAGAGAAAACGGCGCAATGACAGCGGTCCAGACGACCCCACTAAATACACAGCCAACTGGAAAACACGGCGCCTCGCTACAGCAGCCCAGGTTTGGTTGCGGAACACGGGCCAGCGTAATCTGGTTGGCTAGGCCACCAGTGTCACTACATGGCACGCGCGTTACGCTTTCGCATCGCAGTCGCTCTGTTGCATGAGTGTAACGCGCGACAGTTGGTCTCGAACGCCTCGTTGCCACAGTAGGAGCCATTCTTACATCTACCGCCTCTTCTTCGGTGTTCTACCGAAGACTATGGTAACAAGCTAACCCAACAAAGCTAGCCTGTCGCCGAACTGGGCTTGTTGAGCCCCTTCCTTCCGTTCACTGCAGCAGCAGTTTTCCTCGCAACAGCTGCCATAGAAAACTCAAAGCGATCGAGGTCCATCGCTTCTCAGAATGCCACCACACCACTGCTGTGCGTGCTGCCTACTTCTTAAATATCACATACGTAGCGACAAGTGTACGGCATGACCACGGAGCCTTCAAATCTCGTACTTTCCTAATCCAAAACGTAGCGCAAGGAGCCCCCTCGCTACCGAAAAAGGAAGCCAGGGTCTGAGCATGGACTTCACGTTTACACCTACACTCCGTAGTGAGCAGAAGACATGGAAGTTCCTGGCTGCTGGGCACGACTGACATATAGTTCTCACCTTGCGGAAGGGCGGGTTGTTGATCAACAGATCAAGCATGGCCAGGGAGTGCGGGTACCTGAGATATCATGCATGCGCAGCACATCTGAGCGCGGCAAAAGAATTGTGTACACAGAGCATGCAAACTCGTCACAACTGCGGGGATAATCTTACGAGAGTCTCCTTCATCCTTCACAGCATACAACAGTCCATGACGAAGCCTCAAGTTTCTTCATGGCGAGCACGCGGGCATCGTGCTTCAACACGTTCTGCTTTTATTCATCTCGACGTGAAATCTGCCACCAACCAGGCTGATTTGCCTGATGCTGCGTGGTTTCAGTATGTTGCAGCGTTTGAAATCGAGTGGCCTGCAGTCCTTCAACGCCCCACTCTGCCGTCAGTGTGGTGCTCATGCTCCTGTTAACTGGATGCCTTCGACGTGGACGACAGAAGAAATTGATACAATCTTGTTTCGGCGAAGATCGGCAACGAAACACACTCACGGCACAGTAATGACATACGATACACACCACACTTTCATCCTGATGCACAGTACTTTCATCGTGCATCACGAACGGAAGGAACTGTGGGCAACCTGCCATAGACCACAAGGCACAGGGCGCCAGCAAGGTCCCGAAAACCGGTACATCACCGCGGCAACAAAATCACGAAGAAGTAACTCTTTGCAAGCAAAACTCACGTGATGAACTTGGCGTACTCTGGACGTTTGAAGTACTGCAGATACTCCAGAAACCGGACAAAAGCTCGGTCGTCCAGGTATCCACTCTGAGCTAAGTCTGCGTACGGTTGTTCCGACAGGGGCGGCACACGTCAGCAGTACACAGCAGTATATGCAGACCGGAAGGCCCGGCGGGAGAATTTCGAGAGTGGGCAACGTCATGGAGGCAGTTGAGGGAACGAAGGTAGGTACACCGGTGGGGTGATAGATCACAACCCAACCGGGCATCCGCTTCCGTGTTTCGTTCGCACCTCATGCCCCTGAGACGCAACGTTGTAACGGCAGAACTCTGCCTTACGCATCGCAATTAAGTGCAGGTTGTACAAATAGGGAGTTTTAGAAGTACGGCCGTGTGTTTGCTACCGTACAGCAGTAGTTTACATTTCGTGGTGAAGCCTTAAATAGCACTGGTTCGATGACCGAGTGATACTACGGCTTCGACTTCTCTGCATGTCGCGGAAAAGGCGAGAGGCCATGGAAACCAATGAAAGCGTTGCTGCTCTGCAAGGAACATTGATCAGCACCGGTGAGGTTCGGGGTTATCTTCTTGAGTGCTCATCGTGAGACGAACCATCCCTCACATTGCCATTGGACCCTTGCGAATATCAGAGCATAAACGTCGCGTCATCGTCATGTTGTTGCTGGCCTTTGCACTTGGCCAAGCCAAGGCAGCGTAAGACAGCGATACAACACCAGAGGTAGGGTACTACCGTCAGGTACACCTGTACACGTGTGGTCGAAGTAGGCTCGCTTCAGGGGATGTTTGGGTTCGGTCCCCGCTTTGCGACGGAATTGGCATATTTCTGTGAACGTACGTGAAGGATGTTGTGCAGCAGCAGCAGCAGCGCTGCCGCTCATGAATTCAGAAGAGAGAGTCTACCAGGGCAAGGAGCAAAAGGCAAGCTTGAGTACCCGGTTACCAGTGCGTTGACAGAGTTCGAAGCGGTGGTTGGTTCCAGCAAGTGAGTGCAGAAGTACGGTCGAGCAGCAGCAGTGTTGATCGGCTTGGGTTGAGTGAAGCAGCGAGCAGGATCAACGACAAAGTTTCCTCTTCAAAAGCATCATCCATCATCCCCGGTCTTTGAGTCTTTGATCTAGCATCTTCGGCGACATCCGTCCGAGACATAGAACAACCCACTTCGAACCTAGCACATGATTCGTTAGTGTAGAGCCACATCGCTCTGCATTGGATTGGGTAATTGGGTCATCAACAGAACCCGAATACCAAGTATAACATTGGCGTCTCGGCGCTTGTTTGTGCGGTTGCTTTTTGCGTCTTTGAGTTTTACAGCAGTATTTTAAGCATGGCCATGCATACTCGCAGCAAGACGATTGGTTCGCTTCGTGGTACTCGTAGCGCGCCTGCCTCGCGTTCGGGGTCGCCCTCCCCCGCTCGCGTGCCCTTTGCCCGCCTCTCTTCCACCTCGCTAGTCGTTCCCTCTGGCGGCGAGCTTTCTGGCACCTCGGCTGCTGGTCTTCCTTCCGGATCTTCTGCCGGCGATCTTTAGGACCCTACCGCCGTCCAACTCGGCGCAGCCGCCGCTGCGCTGGGGGTCACGGCTCACCCGGGGGCTGTGCGTGGCCTCCTCAGCGACGGCGACGATGAACACGACGGCGACAGCGTCGCCTCCGTCGACGCGGACCTCTTCCGGACCGAGGAGGAGCTTCGCCAGCTCCGCGAAGACGCGTCCCTCGCGGCCGCGGTTGAGGGCAGCCTCCACCTCTCCGACGCCCCCCCACCGCCGGGGTCGCCGGCCGCCGTGGCCAACGCTCACGCCGACGTTGTGCGCCCGCGAGGGCTTTGCCGCGGTGTGGCAGGACGCCAAGGCGGCCGATGTGGCGGCGCGCCGCCGCCGTGCGGCCGCGGCAGCCGCCTTGGCCTTGCAGCGTGATATAGCGCAGCAAGCCGCCGCCGCCGCTGCTACTGCCGTCAGCCGCCTGCAGCTCCTGGAACGCCGCGCTTCCGCCGCGGGCGAGGAGGTGGAGCTGATCCGCGCTTCCGGGGCGCTTCGCATGGAGATGGCGCGGGCGGACGTTCTGAGGAGCACGGGCGCTCTTCGCATCGCCGAGCGCTCGCTGTCGCCTACGCCCGCCGGCTCTTCCGAGCTTCCCCACCACGCGCTTTCGTATTCCGAGATTGTACGTGGATCGTCTTCAAGCTCTTCGGAACGCGAGAGCGGGAGCCCCGGGCGCCCCGGGCGGCAGGCTGGCCGCGCCACCTCCTTCACCCTGCCGGCCCCGGCCTCCTCCCCGCCCATCCCGGTGGCGCTGCCAGCGTGGGCCGGGGCCGGGGGCGAGGGCGCTGCACCCCGTTCTTCGCCTTCTGCATTGGCTGACGTGGCGTCGGGGATTTCGCGCGCTTCTCGGGCGGGGAACTTTTCGGCTGCATCGACCCATGATCTCCCGCCCCCCGCTTCTCCGAGGGCGGGCTACCGCCGCATGGGCACCGCCGCATCGGTGGCCGCTGCCGCCGCCGCCGCCGCCGCCGCCGCCCCGTCTGCGGCCACGTCCGCGGGCGCTGCCCCTGCTGCTGCGGCGGCGCGGCGGCGACCGGGCTTCGTCACCACGCACCACGCTTCACCAGCTTCACCAGCTTCACCAGCGCCGGCTCCAGAGGCGGCGGGGAAACGGCGGGGAGGAGCTGTAATTCGCCGCCACACTCCGCCGCCGCTCCGCCACCCGGTTTTGGGGTCCTCGGCCCCTCCGCCGACCAGCCCCCCTCGGGCCGGCGCTCCCCGGGCGAGGGAACCGCCGGCCGACACGCGGCGGGCTGGCGTTGTGATTCGTCGTCACGATCCTCCGCCGGTTGTCGCGCGGCGGGGGAGTGTTGTGATATGCCATCACGACTCCGGTGCCCGACGAGCTTCGACTTCTTCACGGAATCCCGTGCCTTCTCTTCGTGGCTCGGCGTCGCGGTCGTCGTCGGAGACCAAGCCAAGGGCGGCGCCGCCGCGTGCACACCAGCCACGCGAGAACCCTCGGGAGCCGGCGATGTCACGGGATCAATACGTGCGCCGACACACTTCGGTGCCCGCGCTCGACGCCGCCGCAGAAGAGGCGCGGCTTCACCGCGGTGGAACGGTCGCCTCGGGTCGGCCGCAGCAACCCCGCGGGCGGCACTGGTCCGACAATGTCCATGTTCCGCTTGACACGCTCTCCGGTGAGATCGGCAGGAGGACGCTGCTGGACGAGCAGCTGGGTATTCGGCTTCACGACGCGGAACGAGCGTGTATCGGGTCGGGATGGACGGACCCAGAGTTGGGGGACGTCTACACGCAGGCCCGCTCGGACTTCAGCGACAACCGCCGCCGCTTGTGGGAGCTCGAAGACGCCTGCGATCGGCGTGAAGGCCGAGCGCACGCGTAGGGTCCTCCTCGCGATTGGGAAATGCTGCGAGCGGTGGAAGCGGCAGCGGCGGCCGACCACCGGGAGCCGCCGTCGCCCGGCCGCGACGGTCAGCGTGAGCGCCACCGCCGAACTAACAAACGCTCGCGGCGGCAGCACAACTGCTCCTGCCGCGAGAGTTATTCCTCTTCTTCGTGGTCGTCGGACGGCTCGGGAGACGACCGGGATGAATGGGGGGCGCCGCGGCGCCGGTCGGCGCCGGCGGAACGAGAGGCCGTCCATCACGTGCGGGCCTCAAGTTCTCGCCGGCAGGGCGCCGCGAGAGGCGGAGGGAAGCAGAGCATGGAGTCGGGGGGGGCAGTAGACCGCGGGAGTCGGCGTTCGGGGGAGGACGAGAGGGAGCGTCGACACAGCCGAGCGTTGTGTTCGAGAGGCTCGGAGGCTGGTGGATCTTCCCGGGCTTCGAGACTAACCCGTGTGCCGTGTTCATTGTCCCCCAGCTCACGATCCCCTTCCCCACCCCCGCACAATCCGAAGGTAGCCTCTAAGCTCATGGCACTCAACGTGCACCGCATGTTTCAGCAGTACGTGCGACCACGCCTGCCGTTGCCTGCCGGCAACACGTGGACGGCCCTAGTTACGTTGGTAGGTCGGCTGCGCCATGTAGTCAGGCAAGGCCGACAGGCTTGCGGCGATTTCCACGCCACCGCGTGGGCTCCAGAGTGGACGTCGCTCGCTCAACAATTTCTAGTGAGTTGTGTAGCGGCAGAAAGTGGGGAAGGGCCGGTAAACAAAATTTTGTCCATCGGTCGGGACCTCGACGACACAATCCGAGATAGAAAGCTCAACGTCCCACAAGGGTTTGCCGAGCTTGTCAGCCAACTCACGAAGCGGTTCACGAGCTTCCAGGTCTCCATCGCGATCATGTTGGCACAATTCTCCGTTCCGGTCCACACACCCCTGCAAGATTGGATAGTCCAACTAACAGAACTTGTCGAAGGGTTGTCTTGTTTGGGGGACTCGTGCCCGACAGACGCACAAATCGTCTCAACCGCCATTGAAGGTTTGGCCGTGCAGTACCCAGAGATATCCCTTTTCGTGAAACCCAAACTAAAGAAAGCGATGACTCTAGCGGATATGTGGAAGTGCTTTCGGGATGACGAGATAGGCGAAAGTAACGCCGTAGCCAACGCACCCCCTGCTATAGGAACGGTGTCCGCCAGATCAACACATTCTCACCAACCAAGGGTTCACGCGGTTGTGCGGGGTCGCTCGTTTGAAACATTGGCCCATGGGCGCGAGTATGAACTAAGCAGTGACGAGGAAGGATACCAACGCACATCTCGGCACCTGTACCCCGTGCTCGGTAAGGGATCAGACAAAAACGCATCTACGCCGAGCAACCCTTCGTTCCGCTTCTGGAAATACTCCGCTGAATCGGTAGAGGGGGTGAAGGCTAAAAGCCAGCTGCCGCGTGACGCCTGCTACAACTGCGGTCGCACCGATCGCTTCCTGCGTGATTGCCCTGAGTTCTTTAAGAATGAGTGTGGTATGTTTGCGAATCATTCGGGGAGGGTAGCCCGGTTTTGGTTGAAGAAAGATGGCAAGCCAAGCTCCGTAGCCTAAAACGGAAACAACAAGCGAGGGGTCCCTCTTTGTACCCTGGAAAATAGGAAGTCGACACCGAGAGTTTCCGCCACTCGGTGACGGAAA